ATCAAGACTCAATTGTTTAAGCATGGTTTCTCTATCTTCTTCTCAGTTCTCTCTAATTCTATTGTTTGTTAAAACATTAGTAAATCATTGCGAGTGAGTGAAAGAGATAATTACCGACATGTTCTTGGGGCATGGTCATGTGATAATAATAATTTAAATTAGGCCCACTTAATACTATACAATTAGTAGTAAAATAAAATTAACAAACCCACCTTTATCCTCCAATTGGATTAAATCATATTATTTTAATCGCCTTTATCTCTTTTTATTTATTTATCAATCTCTCCTTTACTGGAAAACCAAAAATCTGTTATTTCAAAAGAAAATAAGATTATGTAAAAGAAAAAGGAAAAAGAGAGAAATATAAACCTAAAGATTTGTTTGGTTTAGTTATTAGGAAAATGGGTAATAGTATCCAATAATTGAAGTTATTGCTATGAAAAACAGAGTAGTATTTTTTTTATTGTAAAACCAATTCCAACCTTTTTTTTTTTTTTTTTGAATTTCGGGAATTTTTAAGGGTGAGGAATTAATAGTATTTGGGTGTAGAACTTAATATTTATGTTCTAACATTTTTTTACCAAAGGAATATGATTATTAAGTCACTTAATATTGAAACAATTACAACTTATTTAGTTTAAGAGGATGAAAGAAAAATGTTACTCAAACCAAACAGGATTTTAATATTTGAAAAAAATGCTTATAAGTAGGTAAAAATATATTATTTTAATTTTTAATAAAATAATCTAATTTTAAAGTATTTTTTAATTTAATTTTTTTATCAATGAACTGATAAATACTAATCTTTTTAAGTTCTTACCTATTGTCTTAAAAAACAATATTAATTACTATTACAACTAATAGTAATTAATTTTTTTAATATATCAAAGAGTTAACTACAAAATTTAAATCATAAATTTTAAATTAATAAATATAAATTCAACAACAACTCTTGTTGGTATAATTGATAGCTTGATGTTGGCCAAAAAATTAAAAATAAACAAACAGTTGAACTAAATTAGGGGGAAATTAGGCGGAAATTTTGCGACTTAACGCCGTTGGTTTGGGATGCCTGGCGTAATATCAATTTTATTTTATTTTGTTTTTTTTTTTTTAAAGGAAGAAGTATCCGAAAGGATGAAGGGTAACGAGGTCATTTAACAATCTCAATATTAGTCTGGCGATCTTTGTCTCATTCATGGACGCACCATTTTAGTTTTATTTTCTTTTAACAGATGGAAACAGAAAGCACAGAGAGGAGAGAAGGAAAAAATAGAAAGAGAAATGTGTGAGAAAATTTGTACCGGAAAAATCCAAAGCAGCGTTGCTGAATTCTACTCTTCGTAACTGGAATCAGAGAATCATTTCATCGTCGTCTTCGTTGTCGCCGAACGTTCGTCGGATTCACATTATTTGCTCTTCTTCTTTTTTTTTTTTTTATGAATTCTTCTTCCGCTCCGATGCGTTTGAGTTTTTGAGACTCTGGAATTTGTTGGGCGGATTGTTTGAGATTCCGGCGAAGATGGCTGGTTCTCAAAACAGTGAGATGAAGATGGAAGGTTGGTTGTATATAATCCGATCGAATCGGTTTGGCTTACAGTACTCAAGAAAGCGTTACTTCATTCTCGAAGCTCACCTCCTCAAAACCTTTAAGACGATGCCTACTTCAAATCAAGAGGTTTTCTTCTTTCTTTTTCACTTTTGATTTTCTGTTTGGATTGTTTTCAATAACGCTTTAGGTTGAGTCATGATATGGATGTAACTAGTTTTGCTCGTTAGAAAAGTAAACGGATTCCTTTTCTTCTTCTCTTCGTTTCTACTTTTGGTTTTGCTTCTTTTTTTTTTTTTCCTTTTTTTTTTTTCAAATTTTTTAATGTGAAGAGACGTATCTTCCAAGGCTTGATAAGTTATTTTTACGAATCCTAGAAGAAATCGCGGCATTAACGAAGAAGTCGAATAGAATTAGAAGTTCTCTTTCGTGAATGATCTTGCTGATTTTGCTAAAGTTTGATGGATCGATTTACTCGTTGAAGTTTATGGAACAGATGTTGGCAGCTTTTAATTCCCTGCTATTTGATTATGCAACTTCATTGATTATTGCTTTGATTGCTTTCTATATAGCCGATTTAGGAGATGTTTATTGTTTAACATAAAACAAATGGCGTAGATAGTCGAATTAAGAGCAGCTTTGCTTATTTAGTATCCTTAGTTCTATTCCAATAAATATTTCCCTTAAGTAGAGAGTCTTACCAAGAACGAAAATGCGTCTTCTCTTCTTCCATTGCTCTTTTTTGGCTAAATGTCCCTTTTATGCCAGTAGGTTTTCTGGTTTCTCAGTTTTTTATTTTTGGGAAATATATTGCTGTTTATGTTAGGAACATTACCACTTTAGTAGTTATGAGTCAATGCTTTTGGTTTACTTGTCTTTAGAACTGTGTAAAGTTGAATTGAGCTGACCCAACCTTTATGGCATTATACTAATTTAATTCAGTATCTATGTTTGGAGATGTGATATGCCTTCCTTTTTCTGGTTGAAAACTTCCCTTCCTGTGATGAATTGCCTTTGATACACCCATCTAGTTCCTTTCAGTCCTGGCGTTGGGCATTGTAGCTTTCACTGTTCTACTGAGGGGTTGGGATGGTATGTGGATAATTGGGAAGGAGGCATGACTCTGAAAGTTCTTAAGGGGAGCACATCAAATATCAAATGTTTATAGAGCTATGCTTGACAGCGTGCATGCTGACATTCATTTTGTTTGCAAATGTCTTTATTATACTTTTGTTGACAGGTTTGACAATTTTATCTGGTATAAGAACTAAAAAAGAAAAAAAAAATCATTGATTTGTCTGTCAGGAACCTGTTAGAAGTGTAATTTTAGATTCCTGCATTCGGGTCACAGACAATGGAAGGGAAAGCATACATAGAAAAGTATGTGAGTTGTTATTTTTCTCTGATTGTGGCTTTTTTATACTTGATGTTTTCTGATGAGTTTGTTTTATTTTCCCCTTTGTATTGACAGTTCTTTGTTCAACTTACAGGTATTCTTCATTTTTACACTTTATAACAGCTCTAATTACAATGATCGGCTTAAGGTAAGCCAACTATTTCATGAGAAAATTAATAGTTTGTGTTAAAAGTTCCTTAACATATAAGTTATGAAATCTAAATGCTGTAGCTAGGAGCAAGCTGTCCTGAAGAAGCTGCTAAATGGATTCAATCCTTCCAAGAATCTGCTTTAAAGGTGTGAAATTGTTCCATCTTGGTTTTTTATAGTACAAATTACCTTGCATAATAAGGGCTTTTTTTTTTTCCTTTTTTTTTTTCCATCTGTAGGATGGTCCAGACCCAGGAGATCAGATTGTTGGTTGTTCTAAGAGCAGATGGCAGTCATTTAGGTTTGCTAATAATTTTTTTGTACTGATACAACATGCATTTAAGTTTTAACATCTAGCCTTGTGTCGTCCTTTCACCTGCACTTGTCATTCACTGTCTGCTGTATGCGAATTGCTTGAAATACAAGATCATTATGTGCTTTTCATTGCTTCACGTTTTCTTTATATTTATGCTATGTGTTATATCTCAGTTAAAAATCTTCAATCACACAGATCAAGTAATTCAAGAGGGTCATATCACCATAAATGTATAGACTGGACTCTTTATTCATCGACACGCATGGATCTGGTGACCTCTGATGTTGTTGCTCCATCACCTTGGACAATATTTGGTTGTCAAAATGGCAAGTATAGAATCAACATTATGAATTTTGAGATAGCTGTAGTTGCACATCTGAAATCATGTCTGCAGTACAGGTCTTAGGCTGTTCAAAGAAGCAAAGGATAGGAATTCTCATGGAAAGGTTGGTGGCTCACTGATCTGGCTGTTCATGTTTTAAATATGGTTTACCTTTTGAATATATTCTTTCTTCCCCATGGCAGTGGGATGATCATCCTGCAATAATGGCTGTTGGTGTGATTGATGGAACTTCAGAAGCCATTTTTCAAACACTTATGTCTCTTGGACCCTCGAGATCTGAGTAAGTGATGCTGACTGCTGAGTATGTTACATCTTCTTCAAAGAAGTTTTCATATTATATTAAGACATCTGCACACTATAGGTTACTGCCAAGTGCCCAGTGAATTCTTGATTACTATCTGGAATTATCCTTAAGTTATGAGATTTATTTATTATTTTTTTTCACCAGATGGCATGCATTTTATCTTTTGTCACTGTTGTTTCCTCCCTCTAATTTACTTTAAACTTGAATTAACTTTAGAAATTTGCTTGCAGATGGGATTTCTGTTACTACAAGGGTAGTGTGGTTGAACATGTTGATGGTCATACAGATATTATTCACAAGCAGCTATATAGTGATTGGTTGCCTTGGTCAGATAATTAGATTCAAAAATTAATCATGTTTTTATCATTAATAATTTCCTTTTATTTCTTCATTCTGATTCTTTTATGTTTTGCAGGGGAACGAAAAGCAGAGATCTCTTGTTGCAGCGTTATTGGAGACGGGAAGATGATGGAACATATGGTAGGTAATTGCTTTGACGAAATTCTTCATACTTTTATGCAAGTTACAAAGGGTTCTTCCTTTTTTTTTTCCTTTTTTGTTTCACAGGCTAACTTCATTCAGTTTATTCCTCCACAGTTATCCTATACCACTCAGTGTTTCACAAGAAGCGTCCACCGCAGAAGGGCTATGTCCGTGCCTGCCTTAAAAGTAATGTATGCCTGAAAAAGTGAAATATATAAACAGAAGAGAACTTCTTATATAGTATGCATGCTACCATAAATTACCAATCTAACAAACATTCAGTTGTTGTTTACCTAAACTTCTGATATGCAAGAACTTTGAACAGTGACTGTCTCTAACATTTGTTTGTGCAAAATGTATGGTTACGAATGGTTAGATGGTCTTGTGAAGTGGTTGTGTAGAAACATTTTTCCTCCTATGCAATTTTCTTGGTTCTTTATGCAGTCAAATTGATTCAGCTTGATTCTATCAATTTCATCATCATCGTGAGCTACCCTGTTGGGATTTTATGGGATTTGATGTTTATGTTTGTCCTTTTATTTCTGAGAGGGGAGGGGGAAAATAACTATAGGAAGTTACTGTAAAAATTTAATGCTTTGCACCTCTTGCAGGTGGTGGATATGTTATATCTCCGATGAAGGAAGGAAAACAATCGGTTGTAAAGCATATGCTTGCTATTGATTGGAAATTCTGGAAATCTTATCTTCGAACTGCTTCTGCCCGATCTATCACAATTCGGATGCTAGAGAGAATTGCTGGTATCAACTTTTTACATGATTTTCATCATTTATACATCTTGTGCCTTTTTATTGTTATAATATCTTCAAGGCAATTAATAACTGGAAATTATATATATATATTTTTTTGTAATTGCAGCCTTAAGGGAGTTGTTTAGAGCAAAAGAAGGGAATTATCCTTCTACTGATCTTTCATCAGGAGAGTTGACAAGAAATGCTAGGTTGCACAACTGTGACGAGGACCATGTGGTTGATATTCAGACACAGATGGAGGCTGTGAAGACAAAGGAAAATACTAGTGAAGGAGCGGAGAGGGCACCTTCAGAACACTCAAGCCTGGTGGGCCTTAATGATTGTGCTGATGAATTTTTTGATGTTCCAGAGCCATCAGATTATGATCAATCAGAAGATGGATGGAGTTCTGATTTTTCTCCAGAAATGCATCCTCAGGTACCAGAAGTTTTAGAATTAGTTCTTGATGCTTTTCATGTGTAAAGGAACTTGTAGTTGATGGGAAAAGGATTTTGCGTTTTATCAACCATCTGAGAAGGACATGATGCATGCATGTATGATTGTAAAATTGTAATTAATAATCTAGCTGCATGAGGTTCAATGTCTTGTATAGAAACTTTAGGAGTGAACTTAGAAACTGTTAGACAGTGGTAAATTCCTGCTGTCATGAAGCATATTTTCATTTTAGGAGAGTTTTGCCTCAATAGAGTGGCTTCTGTAGGTGAATGAGTGTTTTCTCCATCCTCTGCTCCACCTCACCTCTCTCTTTATCCTACTCCATGTGCATATGGGTGGGTAAGCCTGTAGGTAAATGTATGCCTTTTTGTTATTTTGCTGTAATATTCGAGGATGTTTGCTATACCTCCACTTGTGTGTTATCTAATCTAACACTAATCGAGCACATGACTCACTGTACAAGTCTTTGTTTGAAGAAATGATATTGACATTTGCATGTATTCCCTATTGTGTTCCCCTCACTGGATTCCTATATGAATTTTGAGAGAGTTACAGGATAACCGTCATCCAAGGTTGTCAACTGCTGCTGTTTTTGTAAAAAAATTGCACGATCTTGCAGGTAATTCTCATTTGGATAAATAACAATTCAGCCTGCCTCTTCAAATGCAGGTGATTTACTAGATGCCTTAAATATTTGTAATTGTTGCAGTTCAGAAGAGAGGCTATGTAGACCTGCAAGAGATGACAAGGGAAGATGTTATATCTTGTTGCTATGGTTACACTCTTCCTAAAGATCCAACTTGCACTTTGCCTTGCAGTTGGACAACAACAGACCCCTCGACTTTTTTAATTCGTGGAAAGAGTTACCTTGAAGACCGTAAGAAGGTATGAACAGAAACATTTCAGATTGCATGACCTTGTAAATGAACTGTCATGAATCTAATAATATATGATCAATATGTATGGATTTTTATGTTCGTTCTTCTACTCTTGCCTACGACATCTTAGGCACCAATGAAATATAAGCTTTTAACTCCCCTAGGTCAACTAAGTTAAAGCTTATATTCTTAGAACAATTATTTATTTGTAAGAGCAGTTGTATGGGTTAAGATCATACCATCAGCTGCTAGAAGTTTGTTGCCCATGATGGTGCTGTTGAATTTACTTTCTTGTTAATCATCTGAAAAGCCTTACTATTAGTTTTCTCATGTTTTCTTATTTCTATAGGTTTACTCTGCTTGTTCCCTTTACAGGTTATGGCAAAGGGTACTTTGATGCAAATGGTTGCTGCAGATTGGCTAAGATCTGACAAGCGAGAAGATGACCTTGGAGGTCGTCCTGGGGGCATTGTTCAGGTTATTCTTTAATTACATGTTCTGTTTCTTTGTCATCAAGTTTCCTGAGCATTAATTAATCACTTATTTGCTCAACTGTATCTGTTGCATTTTCCACCTATCAGACACTTGATTAGAAAGATATTTTTATTACTGTTGCATTACAGAAATATGCTGCTCAGGGTGGACCAGAGTTCTTCTTCATTATAAACATACAGGTTGAATTGGATTTTGCTTACACTTTACACCCAACCCAACTCATTCAAACCCCTTTCTTACTCTTGCTGAGAATAGAACATGATCAAATCGTTATGATGAAATAGGTTCCAGGATCAACAACATATAGCCTAGCCTTGTACTATATGATGAATACTCCTGTGGAGGATGCACCCTTGCTAGAGAGCTTTATCAAGGGAGATGATGCATATAGAAATTCAAGGTTCAAGCTCATCCCATACATATCCAAGGTTAGTGAATCCAGGGGTTTTGCAGTTCAGCAGCTTTGGAACCCAAAGGCATACTTGTTTGGGAGTAAACTGCCAATGGCTTCCTAAAGAAACTTACAAATAAATTACATTACTTCATTTCAACCTCTAATATGCAAAAACATATCTTTGTTTCCTTACCACGAAACCTATTTCATATCATGTCCAATGGAGGTCTCTTAGCCTCTTATGGTTAACTTTTGTTTTATTCAGGGCTCGTGGATAGTTAAGCAGAGTGTCGGAAAGAAAGCTTGCCTCATTGGTCAAGCACTTGAAATTAATTATTTCCTCGGCAAGAACTACCTGGAGGTAAATTTCCACTTGAAAACTGAAATCATTTACATAAAAGTGTCACACAGTTTATAACGTATATAGACAGTATATATCTAAACGCATTAGTGGATATGTGATTCATGCAGCGCCATATGCATGGATTCATATATGCCTGCACTTTTTAAGACAAAATTAATTTCACGAGACGTCTGAAATAATGTCATTAATAGGACTGCTTCTGCTGTGACACCATACAAAGTTGTGCTCAGATGTGATATGCTGCAGTTCTGTAGCAGAACAAAGTGCAGATGCACTGCCTACCGAACCAAGAGACAAATTAATGAATTCAATTTCTGAATCACAGACTGAAATTTTTTTATGAAGATTTGATGAATCTAAAACACCCTTTTTTTTGGTTGAATACCGGGGCAAGGCCCAATCAAGTATTGATTCTGATACACTACTGTCATTTCAGCTTGGGATTGATATTGGGTCGTCTACAGTAGCAAGAGGTGTTGTCAGTCTTGTTCTCGGCTACCTCAACAATCTGGTTATTGAAATGGCATTCTTGATACAGGTAAGCATCGCAAACCAAAATGAAGTTGTAAAAGAAAGCACAGGTAGCAAATTTTATGCAACTAGGATGATTATTAATTCTTGGAAAAATGAGAATTCAGATGAAAGCAAGGTTGTATACAGAAATTAGAACCTCACTTTCTTGGGTGAGCTCACTGTCACTCTTTGGTTGTACTGGTACAGGCAAATACAGAAGAGGAACTCCCGGAGTTCCTTCTCGGGACGTGTCGGCTAAACCACCTGGATGCATCAAAATCCGTTCTAGTGCAACCATGACTAACTCTAGACGCTCATGATGAAATGAATTTTAAGGCTGGACGGTGGCTAACAAGTCAAGATTTGTAAGCTCTGCTTCAATTCTTTTATTCAATCAAAACATGAATGAACTGCTTCATACTATCATTTATGGCTATGCTGGCTTACAATTTAGATAATCAAGATTCATAGGATTGATAGAAACTATATTGTACAGATATTGCTACCGAATCAGCATTCATTTTTTTCTAAATTTACATTTTCAATTTTTTTTATTTCCCTTTAAGTTACCTTTTTAGTTTCTTCCAGAATCCAAAGGACAGATTTTCCTTAGAGCATGTGATGTGTATCCAGTTGGCAGTTCCCACCACGTTCCTCGTGGCCAAATTTTAAAAAATAAAAATAAAAATAAAAATAAATCATACATTCTTCCGTTTCCATTAGCTGGGAAGACACCCTGTCTAAGCCCCACGATAACCACTACTGGTGCTTGTCCGTTTGTCCAAACAATGGCATTGTTACCTCTTCTTTGTCCTTTTTTTTCTACTCCTGAGCTGAATTTTGGAGTTGGTGTTAAATAAAAAACTGAATGTTGAAAGTTTTGAACCAATGTTTTGTGTTCTTAGCCAACAATTGAGATTATTTCTAAAGATACTTCATTTGTATATTATATTATTCAAATTTAAAATTTTTTATCTTATTTTAAAAAATAATTTATATTAAATTATTTAAGTAATTTGTAGTATCATTTCTATAATAAAATTGATTAATTATTAATATTTGTTGACCACAAAATGTGGTATTTATTTTTATTACTAATTCTTTTTACCGGCGGGAGATGTGATGGGATATGTATCAAAAAAAATTTTTTTGACGTTACCAATCAAAAAAGAAAATATTGTTTTACGTTATGTTTGATTTAGTAACTGTTGTCAACTGAATCAATGTCATATCGTTGTTTATTCTGATTAGAATCAGTCTGTCATGCCTATGCTTATGATATATATATATATTTTTGAATAATTTGTCAAGAACCGGCTCCGAACCCCTCAAAGGAGAGGAGAAATGCATTTTAAGTTAAGAAAATACTAGTTAACCTGAAGGGTCAATGCTATGCTTATGGTATATTTAGTTTAAGAATAGAAAAAGATATTATTTTAATTATTTAAAGTAAACATTTGAATAAATAAAATAATTTAATTAATTATAATAATTTTTTCTTTATTCCTATTCTCAAAAACTGCAACTTTCTCCAAATCCTGTAGAGGTCTATGTAACTCCTTGGGGTAAAATATTAAAAAAAATTTGCAGGAAATTTCCTTCCTTTGCAAGGTCTCGTAGGAATTCCCCTTTCTGTGAATGTGTAAAATATTAAAAAAATTTTAAAAAATTTATGATTGAACCACAGCCTAAATAATCAAGATTCATCGTATTGATGGAAACTATAGATATTGCTACCCCAATCAACATTCATCTTTTTTCCCAATTTACATTTTCAACTTTTTTTTCTTCTTTTATTTCCTTTTAAGTTACCATTTTTAGTTGCTTCCAGAATCCAGAAATCAGGTTATTTTCCATGGTGTGGTTGTCGGCACTTCCCACATTCTTCACAGCAAAAAATAAAAATAAAAATAAAGAAATAAAAATCTCACATTCCTCAGTTTCCGTTACCCGGGAAGACACCCTACCGTTAGCAACAATTACTTCTAGTATTTGTATGAGTAAGCGTCTATTACAATTTTGCCCCTCAAAATACACCACTACTTACACCTTCCCCGTTTTCTGTTCCATCGGAGGTCCGACACTATTCGTTGCTCTGATTCTGTGTTCTTCTCCGGACACAGATTCAGTTACCTAAGTGAGAATTTCTGTCCTTTTCTTTTTTTCTTCTTCCCGGAAAACTACGAATTCTGTTTGGTTGGCGAGAAAAAAAGATCAGTCTTTTAAATATTCATTTGTAGTAATCGATTAAAGCGTCCTCTCCGGCGAACTCCCAACACCACTCGAGCAAATTCATGAGCACGAGATCAAGATACTCGATAAAGGTAGGGGGCACCGTTCTCAGTTTTTTTCTTTTCTCTTAACCGGACCTCTAAAAAGATTATGAAAAAAAAAATTACTGTATTTCATTTAAGCAACACGGCAAAAAAATAAAAAAATCTCATTGGTTATTTTAGTTTTTTTTTAATAACAATTTGTTAAAAGGAGACGTTTTTTTCTCTTACATTAAACAGGTAGTTTTGAGTTGTTTATTGTTTCTGTCATCTGCACAATTCCAATTACTTGTTTTCTTGTCCCGTGCTTGTCTTGTCCACTTCTGTTTCGCCAATTCAGAACTTTACAGGTTCCTGTTAGTCTAGCTGTCCTCTTCTATGGTTGAAATTGCATCCGTTTTTAATGGTGGAATCTGCAGTTTATAATTTGTCTCATTTATTATAATGTTAATGTTGAGGTTGATGCTTTGGTGTTTTCATGCTTGGCAGTGAGTATAATAGTAACAAAGTGGGGATGGATTCTACTCTAAAATGCGTACTGTTGTTATTCTCTGTTTATATAGCAGTGAATGCTGCTTCAGTCAAAGCTGATTTTGGGCATTGTGAAATTGCTGTTAAAAAGTGGGCAGCCTCTTCACTTGATCATCAAGTCAAACAAGATAAACACACGCTTAAAGATTTGTTGTTTTTCCTCCATGTCCCACGAACAGGAGGGCGTGCATACTTTCACTGGTAATTTCTTACATATATGCCTTTGAACAAATACCAATAAACTTAGAACAAGCATCTTAACAACTAATTATCTCGTTTCTGCTTTTTGGCTGCATTTTGCACTTGCAGTTTCTTGAGGAAGTTGTATTCTAAATCCCAAGAATGTCCCCATTCATATGATAAGCTACAATTTGATCCAAGGTATATATGTTAATCCTTTTTCATTATTGACATTTTATTTATTATTTACGTACTCTTCATTTGAGCATCACTTTACTTTACTTGATATAAGTATGACCACTTCAGTTAATTTGTTTTTGACTCCATGTGCATACAAAAAAATTTGAAGAGCATTTTCATTTGTTTCCGGTACCAGAAATCGACAGCAAAGATCACTTGTTTCATGGATCAAAATAGTCCAATAATAAATACTGGCCAAAATAAGCAAATTTCTACAGCTGGACCCCCTCTCACCTTCAACACAAAATTAAAAGAAAGAGAAGATGTATTTTCTCCTTATTTTGGTTCCCTTAAAGACTAACGGGTGTAGTTTTGGGTTTTCTATACAGCAAGACAAGGTGTGGATTGCTGGCTACGCATGATGACTATAGCTTGATGTCTAAACTTCCCATGGAAAAGACATCAGTTGTTACAGTACTTAGGAATCCAATTGATCGTGTTTTTAGTACTTACGAGTTTTCAGTGGAGGTGGCAGCCAGGTTTTTAGTGCAACCAAACTTGACTTCTGTCCAACAAATGACTGGACATAGGCATACTACTAGGACTAATGTAGTGGATGAAGGGTTTTCTACACTACCAAACTTGACTTCTGTCAAACAAGTGACTGGACGTATGCGTACTACTAGGACTAATCGAGTAAGTACATTGAATATTTGGCCATGGAAGTATTTGGTTCCATGGATGAGAGAAGACCTTTTTGTTCGGGTATGTAACTCCTACCACTGGGGCATTTCTCTTATTTCTGTTCCTTTACCTTTTTTACCATACATTCTAATTATGTATGGTTGGGCCACATGGCTACACTTAACTACTATGAAACAGTTATAATGTTAATAATGTTTTTACTTTTATGAACAGAGAGATGTTAGAAAACTTAGGGGGATTGATGATATCAAGAGTAGTGATCCATACAACATGGAGGATGTTCTAATGCCATTGGAGAAATTCATTAATGACCCTATAGCCCATGATATTGTCCACAATGGAGCTACGTTTCAGGTATTTGTCCACAATGTTTCAGCATGCAGCTCTTGTATGTTCTTTATTTGTCTCTTTTGATGGAAAATCATTTTATGGCTATCTCTTGTCTTAGAAATACTGCAGAAAAATATGGGTTAGAAATCTAATGCTTGTTATCTTCATCATTTTCTTATTTAAATCTGGAACATTGTGGCTAAAAGCCACAGAGCTTTGTTTCATTTAATGGAAAAAATTTTGAGGGAACTACATCTAACACCTTACCTGTGGTGGCTTTGAAGTTTACATATACTCAACATTTTCAACTCATTAGGGATCAACTTGAGGCTTTTGAAGGAGATTTACAACCTTATATGTGGCATTTTTTATGTCAGATATCATGTCAGAATAGTAAAAAGTTATATTTATGACTTCCATTTTGAAGATTTGAGCACATAACAGATGCCAGCCCCCAGTGGATCTAATTTACTCAATTTATTAAACTTGCTTTAGAAACATCTTCCTTCATATGTAATTGGCGTGTAAGTTTCAAAAAAAAGGGATTGCTTCTCTATCCTTTGCTTTAAGGGAAAAAAAAAGGGGGGGGGGGGGGGGGGAAGAGAGAACTGTCAAAGGGCTGGTTAACTAATGTGATCCACAGATTGCAGGATTGACAAACAACTCATATCTAGAAAACTCACATAAAGTGCGACATTGTGTACAGAAGTACAAAGTTCTTGGTAAATATGTGCTTCAAGTTGCAAAGGTAAATTGTAAGTGGCTTGTGGATTTGAACGGTACTTCCTTATTATGTTTCTCTAAATTTCTATTTCTTTCTGGCTTTGGAATCATGGTAGATTCTTGTAAATCTTGCAGAAGAGGTTGGACAATATGTTATATGTTGGACTTACAGAGGACCACCGCAACTCTGCAATAATGTTTGCTAATGTGGTTGGTGCACAGGTTATTTCCCAGCAGATGGCATCAAATGCTACAGGGGAGGGTGCAGCTAACATGAAATCAGGTTGAAGAAACTTTTCTTTTTTTCATTCTTTCTTTCTTCTTTTAAGAGAAATTGTCTTGTGTGAGGAACATGATCAGTCATTTTATACTCCTATTAAATTGAACTGGTATTTCTGCTTCTGCATTTCTAATATTTTTCTAGGATGTTTAAGTGATTGTTGTTCTCATTGTTGAAGTTCGTTTGCTTTTGCTACAGAGCAGAGCTCTTTCTTTCCAGATACAGAGCTGGATAATAATGATCAACAGGTACTGTAGTTTAGCAAATGAGCACTTGACAATGAAGATCAACTAGAGTAGCAGTCTTACAGCTCTTTATTTCCTGAATGACAGAATAGCACCTCAGACAAAAAGGTGGCTGAGACTGCATCAACAAAGAATACTGCCAAAAATGGAGAAAATGTAAACGGTTTTTCTTGTTATAAGATATAGGACCGTGCATACACATCTGAAGTGATCTTTTTGTTTAAGCAACTTTCATGTTGTCTTTTCCTCCCTGATAGATGACTGTGGGAAAACTAATGGAAGCATATGAAGTCTGTATTTCCAACTTGCGGGTTGAACAAGCACGTAGGCGCATTGTTTCTTTAGAGGAAATCTTGCCAGCAAACTTTACAAAGGAGGTATTGTAAATATAAAATCCTTCAGAATGAACCATTTATGTCTCTGCCAACCATTTTTGTCCACGTTTGATATAACATTGTGACATAACTGAGATTTTTGGCATAAAGGCTCCATAATTCACAGATTGTAAAAGTCCCATGCTTAGCAAGTGTTGAAATTCTTGCTCAATCTGTCATTGATGGTATAGTGTCTTGCATCTCCTAAGATTCATTATTTACCCAAGTTGAAAGTGTATGTTATAGAGAGGTCTGGTTTAGTTTACCCCCCAATCCTTGGGCCTTGCAAATGCTTTCTCTGTGCTTCTGTTTTCTGAAACTCTTGTTTAACTTTCTATTCCAGTGTAGAAATTGTTATCACAGCTCGCTGTTATTGTCTCGCATCTTTCCCTGTTGCCATTGATAATCTCAATTTCACAGGCACGCCTTCAAGTTCCCGAGGCAGTTCTTCAGCAGATAAGATCACTTAACAGCCTTGATTTGGACCTCTATGAATATGCCCAGGACATCTTTGCAAAGCAACACAGGGAATATACAGACAAGTTGTTGGCAGTGGTTAGTATCTATCTATCATAGACGTTTAAATGATTTCCTTTCATTTCTGTTTTTCCGACTCAATGTAATTGTTATATTCCAACTTGTTATATGATGGTGAATAATGTTAGGTTAATTAAACCCAAACGTATATGATAATTTATAGAGCATGTGATTCCTCTTAAGGGAATTTGTTATTGGAGATTCTCAGCTGGTCAAAATTATGCTAACACAAATAAGTAATGTATATTCTCCTTATGAAACAGGGGTGATGTTTTTATTTTCCTGGGCCTACCTTGAACAGCTTGGTTAGCCCTTTTAGCTACATGACCGCTGACCACTTGCAAATTTATCTAATCCCATGCATCATGATTCAACACTTGCTTGCTCAATATGTTCTGTCATCATCAGACTCACATATGATTGAGGTGGAATAGAAGGAGCAAAATATTATTCTGTGTGGATCTACTTTTGACTGTTTTTTGAATGAAAGTCAGAATCTCATATTGAGGCTTTAAACTTTGCAGGGGGCATTGGAGAACATGTTTGGCAATAACCTCTGGAAACTCACCATGTGGACCGTGCTGCTTGTCTTGCTCTTTCTCTTCCTCCTATTTGAAAATGCCAGAAGAGAAAAAACATCAAAAGTGAAGATATGAATGTTACTCATATACATGACTAATTTATGAATCACACCCTGATCAAGTTGGATAAAAGAAAAAGTAGGGATCGGCATATTTTCCTTGTTGGCTGAATGCCCATGATCCCATGTGATGGAGATGACCAAGTGAATGAATTAGATTAAAGCTTTTAGATCTGTCTTTGCCATTCGGCCACCATAGTTCAGTTTAATTTTTGTATTCTTCCACTTCTTGGTATGTTTTGGTCATGCAAGCAGGTGGGATAGTGTTAAATTTTGCTTCTGATTACATATTTGCTAAAGGGTCATTATCAAACATCAAACCATTGGTGAGCCAAGTCGTGATTAAGCCATTTAAATTGCAGGTTTTTGCTTGCAAATTAAAAGTCAGATCCAAGTATCTAACACAATACAACCCCATGTATTATTTTTGACTAACAATCTCCAATCATGGTTCATGGAAGAAAAAAAAATATCAAAATGAGTAACAAGAGAACAATGAAAAAATGAAAAAGGGTCCACAGCATGTGGATGGAGGGACGGAAGGAAGTAATGCAACCAAATTGTCAGGTCCCATAAGACAATGATTTCTCGTCTTCCTTCCTCTTCGTCGGTGATCTATTCAATTCATTTTCTTTACAATTATTTTATTTTTTTTCAAACGACCTACAATCAAATCATATCTCCGGATCTACCCCCTCCCTCACATGCTAAATTAATCCGACATCTTAACATATTCTCCCCATTACTTTTTTTTTTTTTCAAAATATATTTTATATATTGTCATTCTGTACATTTTTTTGGTTCCTATCTTCGTTTAGAACAAAGATTATACTAATGTTGTCACTAGTACCGTTAAAGAGCTTGTCTTCCAAGGTTGATTTAAATTTCAAAAATCATAACATAATTCATTCATTATTCACGTCTAATTGTTATAAACTTATAACAATATAAAAATGTTTTTTTTAAGTTTTAAATAATTTGCATTGCGAAAAGATTTTATTATTTAGAGTCTATATTGATTAAACATTAAATTGTATTAAAAAATATGTTCTCATCTCTTATGAGATATTTTGGTAATTAAAATTTTAAATCTTTTAAAATAAATACAAAAAAATTTTAAAAAATAATTATTTTTTTTATATCCCATCATTCCACGTATTAATTAAAAAACAAACAAAACAAAACGGGTTCAAATAATAATTATGTAAAGTTAATTATTTTATTGTATGGAGATTATGGGCAATTCAATTACCAAAATTTGAGATTTTTTTTTCCAGTATAATAAATTTTTTTTAAAAAATGGTTTTGAGATTTACAAGTTAATTACAGATGGCGGGATGATAAAATGGAGGTTAAATGCTAATTTTGGTCCTTCAACTTTATGGAGTTTCACTTTTTTGGTCCCTTAATTATTTTTTACATTTTTTTGATCCCTTAACTCTGAGAAGTGCATAATTTTGATCCTTTCGTTAGTTAGCTGTAATGTGGCAGTTAACTAATTCCAAATGACATTTTCTTTTAGTTCTTTTGATGATGTGGCAATGATATGTCTTATAATTAACTTATGGGGGCAAATAAAAATACCACATCATATTAATATTTATATTTTTAATAAAAACAAATAATAAATAATAAAATTACAATATTACCCTCCCCTTCCCGATCCATCTTCTTCCCCCTCTTTCTTCCTCTTTCTTTCTCTTTCTTCCTCTTTCTTTCTCTTTCTTCTTCTTTCCTATTGCTGGGTTCGAGGGAATGGAACCTAACAACTGGGGTTCAGTGGAACCATCGAACCTAGATTAACTAGGTCCATGGAACCCGTCGAACCCAAAAACTGGTTTGATGAAACCCAACAACTAGGTTCAGTGGAACCTAAATCTACTAGGTTTTGTCGAACCAGCTTTTGGGTTCGATAGACCCATCTGATCTGGGTTCCATTGAACCAAGCAGCTGGGTTCAGTGGAGCCCTAGATCTACTAGGTTCCATACCCAGATCAATCTTGGCTTCTCTTCCTTTGAGAAGCAGTTCTACAATAACTCAAGGAGATGTGTCTAGTTTTCTACAATGCTTGCGGTTTGATACAAAGGCAGTTGCTGTTAATCATAAGTCTAATCGTCAAGGAGACTTCAAAAAGCTCTTGAATATTGCACTCGATATTTCAGCTAATGAACCTCCTATTGGTTCATCAAAGGGCAAGCTATTATCATCTCCCACATCAGAAGAAATAATACAGGTCAGGCATGGCTTGCGTGAGAGCACTATCAAGGTCAAGTAGTTCTTGTGAAATTTTGCAATTTGGATTCATTTGTGTTTGTTTATTAAATTTAATTAGGTAACAGGGAACGAGTGAAGATTTTTAGTGAAGCCTTATCTATATTCAACAAGTTTTTCATCTGGGCTTGATGGACCTAGTTGATCTAGGTTCCATCAAACACAGGCTTGGTTCCGTTGAAGCCTTCCTCTGTTTGTCAAGTTCACCAAGTTTTTCATTCCTTTTTTTGTTTTCCATTCCCAATTCTTAATAGGTTATTTCAAATTTTGGGAGTTAATTTATGTTGATATTGTTCTTTTGTGAATTTGAAAGCTAATTTGTGGTTGATAAATTTCGAACCCAATTGCTTGGATTGTTTACAATTTAATTGCATTGGTGTTCAAGTTGTGGTTCAATGACCAAATCTACTCGTTCGATCGATTTGACAGAACCTAAATTTTGTTGTGTTCAAACTCAGTTAGATCAAAGAGGGGAAGAAGATGGATTGAGTTTAGATGAGAGAGCGTTCTAGGGTTTACAGATGTTTTATCCTTTTATTAAATCTTTGGAGGCAATCTGAGACCCATTTAAGGGGTCGACGTTTGATTCGTGTACATATCATCATGTAAATATGATATGGTATAAAATTTTGTCCATGTCACAATCTTTTTAAGTTTTCTTCTCTATGTCATTAAAAAAAATATATAAAAAATACCACATGGATGGAGTTAACGGCCCAAATTGACAGAATGATTAACATTGTGCATTTTTTAGAGTTGAATGATAAAAAAAGTGCAAAAAATTGTTAAGGGACCAAAAAAATACAACTTCATAAAATTGAGGCACCAAAATTAGCATTTAACCTAAAATGGAAAGCTCACGGTAAAACTTCCGTGTGGGTAGGATACTCTCACTTATTAACTTTCACCGCGTTTGACACGCCAAATCCCTAAAAGTTAAAACCCCTTACTCGGACAAACACCCTGATTCAAAGGAATCTCCTTTCTCTCTCGATATCTCTCCTCCTCCGTTTACTCGTCATCCGATAATGGCTGTGGCCGCTGTGCCCTCTTTCAACTAGGACTAGCTCTCCTCCCTCATCCACCTTACATACCAGGTCTCTCTCCTTCTTTCTTTCTCCTCATTTCGTGTTTTCGTGTTTTGGTTTCGCTTCGTTTCTCTGGTTTTTGATTATGGCATTTCGGATTTTTTTTTTTTTTGGTACATTGCCTACGTTTCGGTTTGTTTTTCCGTTTGGTTCCTCAGAAAACGGAGGCAAAGTAAAGAAATTTCTGAATAATCTTGTAGGAAACCGACATTAGCTTCGGTTCAAGTTATGTAGTACTCCTATATATAAGGTGTGGGAACAACCCGAAATGTAGGAGGTAATAGGTACCGATTTTTCAAAAATTTTCCTGCATTTTCTCAGTAATCAAACAGGGCCTTGAGATTTTCATTTTCATTTTCTTTTTCTTTTTTCTTTTTTAAATTTGTATGGCGGTTGGTATCTCATTAGCAGTGAAGTTGAAGGTAAAACGACGACGTAACTGATGCTTAATATACACGGAAAGGGAAATGGACGTTTTGCATGCTCTAATTGATTTTCTTCAAACAGGAAAGAATCTGATTTTTATTCAAATTAACACAGAAAGTCTTTCTTTTTCTCTTTTTAGGTTTTGGGTGCAATAAATTTTCAAGATTTTAGAACTTCTTATTGCTGAAGATTTTTCGTAGAAAATTATTCAATCTTCAGTTGGTTGAGGTAGATAATTCCTAAAAAAATCTCAATTACGGATTAGATTTTTAATTTTACACGGTAATTATCCAAATTTGACCAATATTTAAGTCAAATTTTGTATCTTTTTTTTTTTTTTTAATTGTGTAAATATGGCAGCTGTTTGCTACTACTATAAAATCATGGTGTCCCATGTGGATGATATTCTCTTTTGTTTTTATATTGTGACATGACAGAATATACAAGAAAGTTATTTACTACTATGAGTGAGAACTGGTTCTTCGACCAAAACTTCAACTTAATTGAAGACAACTTTTTTGATGATGTCAATTTCGACCCTTCATTGGATGATGTCAACTTGGACCAATCATTGAATGATATCAACTTGGAAGGAGACAACAATGTTAGTGCAGAAAAATGGGATGCTGACTTTCAAAGCCTTGAACCCCCTCCGCCCATGTTCTATGGCGATTCATGTAGTGCTGGGTTGGATGAGAATCAATCTGTAAGTTCCACTCAAGACCGTGATGCATATTTAGGATTTTGCAGTAGTGTGAATGGCATGCTTTGATAGAACATACTATAACTTGTAACTCTTGGTTGTTTTTTGTTTTTTGTTTTTTTTCCATCAGAGGGTTATCCTCGTGACATCACAGAGGTTTGAACCTCTGACCTTAACTCCGAATCAAGGTTTTTAAATTAGTAGGTACCAACTTGACCAAGCTTTTGTTGGTGTAACTCTTGGTTGTTGGTACTTGCTTTAAATCAATTTAAATTAATGCAATAGTACAGCCTTTCCAGGGACCATTCTATTAAGTTTAGAGCTTAAGCCCTCAGATTGGTATGACTAAACCTGCTTTGGCTAACATAGTAATATTGGTTTTATCCTGAAATGGGACTTGTTTTTGAGAGGATTATTTTTCTCACACGTGTCTTGAAGGTGTCTCTTGTTCGCATAGTAACAATGAATGTGACTTTTTGTGAACTATCCTTTTCAGAAAGCAATTTTCGTTTTTCTAAGAGACTAATGCATATATTAGTTGTAAATCCCTTGGAAACACTTTCACTTTCTGTTCTCATTGAAAGAATCCTTCAATAATGCTGCTTGCTTGACTGGAGGATAGAGTGTTCTATATAGAGCATCAGTGAGTAGTAGTTATTTCATTGTAGCATATGGGCTTATAATTGGTAATGGTCAAAGAGATTGAGAGTACACATATCATAGGGCATGGTTACTGATTACATATGTACATATCATCCCCAACTCCCCAGCTTGATTTCTACTGATTAAATCTTCTTCTCTCTTTTGGGTTTCTGACTTTTGCAGATTCTCTTTTGCAATTTCAATAGAATTTGGTTGCTTTTTCATGAAGATACATGACTACTACTCCTTTTCTTAATGTTTCTCTCTTTATTTTTTCTTTAAGCCCTCTACTGATTTCTGTTTGAATTCTATTTACTTCTGTAACTAGCATGAGGGATCTTCTTCACTAAACTTACTGCCGAACAGTTGGAGAGCCTCCAGCACAAGTATGTTCCTTCATGACAACTCTGCTGACGCCAAAGGAGCAAGCCTTTTCCAAACCTCCAGTCCAGTATCTGTACTTGAAAGCAGCAGCTCTTGCTCAGGGCCAGCTGAAAACCTGCCTGTTAATCCCAAACTCAACTTTCCAGTGAAGCGCACCAGAGGCAAGCGCAAGCGAGCATCAACCTTCAGCCTCCAGTTGATATTACCTTTGTCATCCTCTTCCTCTACAGGAGATGGATCAGAGTCAGACAGCCATCTTGCCGAGAAATCTTCCAAGAAAAAGAAAAAGAACCTGATGTTGCTCTCTGGTTCTAGCGAGACAAAGGAATCTGACTCACAGCAACTAGTTGTTAGAAAATGTTTGCACTGTGGAATCACAAAGACTCCCCAGTGGAGGGAAGGACCAAACGGGCCAAAGACCCTCTGCAATGCATGTGGAGTTCGTTACAGGTCCGGGCGCCTAGTTCCAGAGTATCGACCTGCTGCAAGTCCTACATTTGTTCCATCATTGCACTCAAACTCTCACAGGAAGATCGTAGAGATGAGGAAAAAGGCTGAGGAAATGGGAAAAAGGGTAGGGCTGCATGCAACTGCAGCTGCATGAACAAACTTGCAGCGGCAAGTTTGCTAGGCTTGGTAGCGCATTGATAATTTTTCGTGTGTACATTGGTTGAATAAGTAAGAAGTTAGGTGATGATGATGACATGTTTTGGCAGAAGGGATAGGAATAGTCAGAGAAAAATCTACTAATTGATTAGAGGATGATGGGTTTTGAGACTAGGGTTAGTGATGCTTCTGCCTTTCCAGTAGTTAGTGCACCTTGAACATGTTTGACAGTATCAGCTCTCACCCCTATTCATTTATTCTTAAATGAAGTAGTTCTTTTATTTCTCTTCCTTTATATAATTCTGTGTTCTCTGTGGTGTACTAGTAATTGTGAGCCATGCAAACCTAGATGTTTCTTCCTTCTTTTTTTTTCTCCATGTTCGTTTCAAGCTCGGAACCTGTGATTGAAATGAAAGAAAATTGCAACAATTTTCTCTGCTTGGCCTGTGGGGCAAAATACTGTCACTTCATTTGATTTTTT